GCTTTTTGAATAATCTCCTAGTGTCCTACACCTAATATAACTATAACAATTTTGCAGGTGTAATAAGAGGAGAGACATTTTCTCACAATTTACAGTTATTAAAGATTAATTTTGCCATTGTATGCCTATATCATTATTGTACAAATGTTACGCAATATAGCCAGGATTGTGCTGATATGCTTATATTTACATTCATACATCCATAAGAAGGTCGGGAATTTTGTAGATTGAATATTGAAGAACTGTGAACAAAAATATTTTCCAACCAAAAGTTTTATTTGATCTGGACTTGACTACCCTGATTACATCGTTGTTTTACGGTCTTTATCCAGCGTAGACTACCTACAGTATCGAGTTTTCCTCAAAAGAAAACTGCGTTCATACCTTTCATTTATCCTACATTGAGATTTGTATTAACTTGTTTATTAACTAATTGCATTTTTAACTTTACAGTTGCCATGGCAACGGACCCAAACGTAATAAGCAAGTATAGGGCAGGATTTAGCGACTGTGCAGGGGAGATTGCCCGATACTTAGATACTGTTTGCGGAAATTCAGAGATAAAAGGAAGAGTTTTTAACCATCTAGGTAATTGTATGAACCAGTTTCCAGTTATTCCCGTGTATCAAGGAAACCAGTATGCCCAGCCCGGATATCCGGTTCACGTGCAGATGCCATCTTCATCAGTGCTTCCTCAAATTCAGCCTCAGGGGATTTTATCTATTCATGAGGACATCGGACATTGTGTACGCACCGACTATTCTTTGCATTCGCATATACCCACCGACTATTCTGAGCATTCTCCAATGAACGGACATAGTACGCTTTCGTATCTATCCCACGAGTCTTCGCCGCTCAGTCATGGACCTTTGATGACATCAACGCCAATACGTCGCGTACCGTCACCTACAGATTCCGATAGTGGAGTGAGTGACGACAGCATCGCTGGTGCATTTCGTGACGACGGCGATCACAGTGTTACTGTAAATAATTTATCTGCAAAAAAGATCAAAATAGAGCCATCATCGGATTATAAATATGTACCTCGACACAAACTGGATCTCAATCAAAACATCGTTGTTTCCATGGATAACCACTCTAATCTGCATGAATATAAAAACCATGTTGATAAAAACAATTCTCGGAGAAGTCCGAAACGCGCTCTTGAAGAGCCGGAAAGTGACAGTGTTCCCCAAGTAAAACGACAGAAAGTAAATGTTGTCTATGAGAATAAGCATCACCAGTCCAGCGCGAACGCTCGAGGTTCCGATTCGCCAAGTATGTGGCGACCATGGTAGTTGGTATGGCAGAAAAAGATATGAATAAAATTTTGAACTTGAAAACGAGCGTCTTTCAAAGGTGTATGTGATATGTCAAGCTTCCAATGTAGTCATCAAAAGTGCCACATTTATTCCATTTGTTCTAGAATGCAATGTATTTAAGTTATAGTTTTGATGCAGATTTTAAAAAAGAAAGAAGAAAATGGAGAAGTGTGATTGATATGTTCTTACTCGAGTTTTCGAGTATCTCATTGAATAGTGCTTGGTTGAAGTTAAATTGAATTTCTCAAATGTTATTGTAACATTTGGAATAAATTAAAAATTTCGAGATTCAATTATTAAGATTTACAAATGGGATGCTGTTTTCTCTCAGTGAAATATTGCTCGTCAGTTACATGTGTAAATGTTATTATTCGTATATGATACAACTTAAATTCATTTGACGTTCAATGTAATGAGTAGTAGCTGTGACGGTAATAAACTGTATGAACTGAGACCGTAGGAAATTGATTGGGCAATTTGTTATAATCAAGGGCAATTTCCTTACATTTCCATTTTTTTCTAAAAATCGAATTGGTACATTTGCGAATTTTGTAGATCAGCCTAGTTGTTGCCTCACCTTATGTAATGGTGTTTAGATTAATTTAATTTGTGTCGTACTGATGACACGTACGTATCGTTAGTTACGTTTAGAGACCAATAATTGATCGGCATAAGAATTGGTGCAATCTGCAATCGATTTTACGAATTATTTTCATCACAGTTTCAATCTAAGCGTTATATGATTAATTGTTCTGTAAGTCTTAATTATTCCTGCATTCACTATGTTTAGGTAGCAAATTAATTTAATTTTTCACTTGTGACCGCAAAAATCATAAATTAACGTTATTACGTTTTGATTAATAGAACATATTAACGACTTTGCATATTGGCGAGTAACTCGCGCCCAAAATATGCTGTACCGTTAGGCGAGATAAAATCGCAAATAATGCTTTGTCAGAATTCGTAATAAAAAAATGTGTATGCCCAAATGTTGTGATATACAATATTTCAGAAATTGAATTAAATGCATTTTTTTCTTCATTGAACCAACCTTATCATTATATAGATACAAATGTATCGTCAAGAAGCTTCCAGCAATGTACAAAGAAATTTGGTGCGATATTTATGTTTTAAAATAATTAATGATTCGTATTTTATTACCTTGCAAGTTTTGTACAATTTTTTTCACTGCCACATTAATAGATAGCAGGTTTGATTGCCAAATGTATAGTTCATTTTAGAAAGACCTGT